TTTTATGGACAGTTGGCTCAAGATCCAAATCCAAACATCAAGAGTAAGCCACTACTGAGGTGAAAAAGAACATCTAATCCTGACCTAGCTAAACTCAAAGTTTACATGCAGGTCCCAGGGCAAAGATTGTGTCTTGGAACCATCAATAGATAGGAACTTTGCCTGGAAAATACCTTTTATGCAATTTGCTTGTCACTTTCTCCCTGTATTTATTCACTTTTCATAGTTTCCAGTCAGACACCTATTCTTTATGGCTCCCAGAACCACAGCATATGAGTGCCCTCACAGTCTTTAACACATTTTCCCTCCCACCAGTCCTGTGATGTATGGATACACATTAATATCTATATTTTTACAGATGGAGAACTTAAGGCACTGGGGAACTAGTGATTTGGCCAGGATGGAACAGGAAGCTTGAGGTAGAGCTAGAACTCAAATCCAGGTTTCCTGAATCCCAGCTTATTACCTTCACTCATGACACAGTTTACGATTAAAAGTACTATTTGCTAGGACTACAGAACAGCTAATTGGAAAACCACTTTTCTAACTTCCTCAAGGGTAATGGGGAATGGCCAGTGGGTTGAAGGCTGGAAGTGGTTAACAGAAAAAAACACTAAGCAAGTGTAACCCACCCTCCTCCTGCCCTATCCCACTATTCCATCTAGTGGTACTGGGATCACTTACACAAGAATGAGTCTGCTCTACTCCCTTAGCTGATAGGCAACTGGCTTTTTATCACATGTGCTAGAGCAGTGTTTCTTAAACTTTTTAAGACCGAGGAACACAAAACAATAATTTTTTGGGGGGGAGAGGGGAAGAACACCAAGGATTTTTGCTGAGCAACAAAAAAAGAAAAAAAAAAGGAAGCTTGCCCGTTTTAAGGATGGACATTTAAACTCTGGTCTCTCCTCTGTTTACTATGCCCCTGACTCTTGGGGTCAAGATGGACATGACCAGAAGTTAATGTAACCACCCCTAAGAACTTTTCCCACCATCCTCATTCCCATAGGGGATGAATTTGGCTCCCACCGAACCCTCTCTCCTCTGGTGCTGATCTCTCCCCTGCAGGTGTCTGCCCTTCTGCTCCAACCCCAGAATCCCCTGGCACCTGCACCTTCTCTTACCCCTGCACCCTCCTGGTGCTTCCTCCTTCCCTCACTTCCCCTGCCCCCTTGCTCTCTTTCTCCCTGATGCCCATCCCTTCACCAACCTCTGCCCCAGTTCCTCTCATGCCCCTCTGTGCCCTCACACATGACTTGCTTCATCTCTGCCTTCCTCATGCCCACCCCTCTTTTCAACCCTTCTCCCAGCACCTCCTTCTCCCCTTGCTTTCTCTTGCCCCCAATTCTGTTCCCCTTTCCTCTCCCAGCATCACCCTGTCCCCTCCCCTTTCCCATCCCCATCGACACCTCCCCTCCCTCCTCCTGCCCTTTTCCTCATTGTCTCCACTTGGCCCCCTGGCATTTGTCTCTCCCTCACCTTGTCCCTTGGTGCCTTTCCCCTTTCTTCTCCTGCCCTGCCCTATCCCCCTCCGCTCAGCACAAGCCCCTTCCTCTCCCACTTCCTTCCCCCTAGCTCTCTCCCTGCCCCTCCCCCACCTTTAGCCTTCCAGTTTGTGGGGCTGGAGTCTGTGATTGGGCCCCATAATTCCCCGCAGCCCTGGCCCCAGCTGCTCAGCTGCTGCTTCCAAGGCAGGCCCCTGACCACAAACATAGAAGGAACAGCTCAGCTTGCAGAGCTGGCAGCAATCAAACTAGTTTGTGAGGCAGGTACCAGTACCATTTACACTAACTCCTATGCTGTATGGGCTGGAGCCACCCAGTGGATAACTAACTGCAAGAATAATAACTGGGAAATAGGGGGGGAAGCCTGTTTAAAGATTGGAATATTGGAAATGGATATACCAGCATGCAACCCAACATGCCTTAAGCATAGGCCATGTGTCTGCTCACCAAAGGAACAACACCCCGGCTGCACAGCTAAATAACCTAGCAGATACAGTAGCACAAATTTTTGCTGCCCAGGTGGATTGGGAAAGCCTGTACATTTGGCTACATGGAACCTTGGGACACACAGGAAGCGATGAGCTGGTGCAGCAGGTACATGCCAGGGGGTGGCCTACCAGCATGCAACCCAACATGCCTTAAGCATAGGCCATGTGTCTGCTCACCAAAGGAACAACACCCCGGCTGCACAGCTAAATAACCTTCCCTCACTTCCCCTGCCCCCTTGCTCTCTTTCTCCCTGATGCCCATCCCTTCACCAACCTCTGCCCCAGTTCCTCTCATGCCCCTCTGTGCCCTCACACATGACTAGCTTCATCTCTGCCTTCCTCATGCCCACCCCTCTTTTCAACCCTTCTCCCAGCACCTCCTTCTCCCCTTGCTTCCTCTTGCAGATACAGTAGCACAAATTTTTGCTTCCCAGGTGGATTGGGAAAGCCTGTACATTTGGCTACATGAAATCTTGGGATACACAGGAAGCAATGAGCTGGTGCAGCAGGTACACGCCAGGGGGTGGCCAATCACCCACCAACAGGCCAGAGATCTGGTACGACCTTGCACCCTCTGTGCTGAACTCAAGAAACATATAACAGAAGGGCAACGGTTTGCCAGACTAAGAGATGGAAAAGTATTATGGGCAACCTGGCAAGTAAATTATATTGGTCCACCACCCACCAATAAGCAAGGGTGGAAGTATGTTTTAACTGAAGTGGAAATTGTTTCAGGAATTGGTTTTGCTTACTCAAACCAAGTGGCAACAGGGTTGTTTACGATCATGGGACTAAACTGCTTAATAGCCCTTGTCCCAACACCCCAGGAGACCCAGTCTAATGGCATGGTCGAACGCTGGAATGGTCTGTTGAAAGGCCCACAGATGGTAAATGGGAAAACAGATTAAATACTGTGGTGCAGAGATTAAACAATCGGCAGACCCCTACAGACAGTCCGATTAGTAAGGGATTTCTTCCCTACAGGGAGAACCTCTCCTAGCCCCACTGTACCACTCAAAGATTCTAAATATGCACCTGGAGACACTGTGGTAATCAAACACCCCAGTTTGGGAACGCAAACCCACGTACTGCACTCTTACAAGGGAAAAGAAGTCTGGACCACTGCAGACGCTGGGCTGACACCAATAACCATTACTGAGGCTTGGATTGTATCCAAGACCGGCGAACCTTATGTTTTATTACAGGAAACTGAGGCAATGGCCCCAAACAGTGCTCCAGTGGGATGGATCCCTCCCCATGCTGGTGTGGATCCAGGAAACCACCATGAACTTTTTGCATATATACCGCTTGCTTTATAGCACTTGCAATCACTTGTATATATACCGCTTGCTGTTATAGCACTTGCAGTTGCTGTTGCTGGTTATAGACTGAATTGTGGAAAAAAACCTAAGCTGAAGCAATACATGGTACTCCAACTCTCCATGGTCTTCTTCCTCATCCCAACTGCTACTACTGTACCAGAACACCTTACTTGACTCCTCTACTGGACTGGGAATCGAGTTTATCCCTCTCAGCCCAAACAACTGGTGGAACAAGAGTGACATCTTCCAATGGGGACTGGTGTGGTTCGATGACAGCGACCACCGCAATCCTCAAAATAACTTTGGGGGGGAGGCAAGGGAAGTGGCAACAAATAGTATGGGGTAAGACATGCTGTAACTAAAAATGTAAACATCTCATGGCTAAATTGGTTAGCCCAACAGCTGGAATTTTCCCTAATTCCTTTCCTACACTTCATTCTAACCATTGTAATTGTTGTAAACATTTTCTGCATAACCCTATGTATTGTGAAACACCTAGTTAATGTAGCTATCTTTTTTATGCACATTCGATATACAGCACTAGGAAAGGACCCAACCAATTCCTAGATCCTGAACCTTCTATTCCAGCCATCTGGCACTTTTAGATTCCCCCAAGGTGGACAAAAGGTGCTGGTATCACCGCCATCTTGTATCCTGGGACGTGGTGTGTCATATCAGGGGGTGGAATGTAGCCAGACAGGAACCCCCCTGTAACATCCATCTTTGCTTGCCTGGTGCATGTAGGGCACACAGAGCAGTAAAAGCCTTGAACAGAAGGCCCGGATATGGCAGGCTGCTGTGACCGTGAATGGCTGTAAACAGAGATACGCCAATTGCTGACCAAGAGGCTGCCGAGGAGTGCCCTTGACTGAAACCCATATTGATACGAACACACAGCTGTCCGTGGGGGGAGGAATCTCTTCCCCAGCAAAAAAATGTCTAGTACTCACAATTTAGTTATCTCTCTTGCAAGTTTAAGTGAAGTTGAAACTTGCTTGTAATAACTGGCGCCACAAAAACGGACCAGTACAATTTGGCATCTTAGATAAGAAAGAGGATACAGGCCCCTATGGGTATAAAGATGGGTCCAGCAGCACATTTACTCCCGCAGCAGATCCCAGGAACGGCTCACCAGCTCCAACCAGCGTCCTTTCCCTTCCGGGAGCGGTGGCAGCTGCCTGTGTATGGAGGAGGTGGTGTGGCCAGGTTGGCGACTGCACACGATGGAGGCAGTTCCTTAGTGGGAGGGAAGGACCATGTGGTGGTGGGGGCTTGCTGGATGGCAGCACATGCTGCATGGGAGCTCGGAGTTCTGGATACTGCGCACCACCGGCAGGGCCCTGGCTGCCCACACAAAGCACCAAGGAAGCTGCTTAGGTGCTGGGTGGAGGTGGGGAGTTGCTGCTGCACTGCGCTAGCCCTGCGTGTCTTTAAATCCGCGACTCTCCTGGAAAAAAAGGGACGTATGGTCACCATATCTCCACGGCACACCTAAGACTGCCTCGTGGTACACCGGTGTGCCATGAAACACAGTTTAAGAAATGCTGGATTAGATGATCATAGTGATCTTTTCTGGCTTGAAATCTAGGAATCTGTTACCAGATTGTCAACAAGAGGCAACTACACCTTATCCTCCAAAACATGCAATTATTCATAATCTGACCACAATTATTTGGTATTTACAGTGACTTTTAGAAGAACTGAGCCCTTATGTGCTGGGTGCTGCATGGATGTGAAGTTCCTGAGCCAACAAATACACAAGCTACATTTCTCACAAGACACAATATATGACAAAAATCAACTGATGGAAAAGAAGAGGGAGAGGCAAATAAGATCTACAGGAGAAGCAGTGGTTCTCTACCTCCTCATGTCTAAAGAAATTATTGCTTAGTTCTAAAGAACTTGTAAACTAATTCTCCCTTTCCTAAGCAAGTTTATAAAATCGACTTCTCTGCATACGATTATTGAGTTATAATTTGAAATATAACTGAGGCCAATTCCACAAAGCATAATTTATAAATGGTCTCTTACAGTGATGGGATAATTTATCTGGCAGGTGAGCACTCAGGGGTGCTACACAATAAAAGGTTATTTACTTGTACCCAAGATAAAACAACTGATTTTAGAAAAAAGAAGGGATTTTATTTAAACCAGAGCAAATGGAACTGGGTACCACCTACTTACAATATTAACTAGGTGAAGAATATATAACGCACAGAGTCTATAACTTAATTATGTGTACTTAACTAAACATAACGGTATGTATAAATATATAAATCTGTATCTATCTGTGTGCTGCACAGTTGATTATCTTATAGGTTACTATTGGATTTTTTTCCCTAGTTCAAGGTACTTCTTTCTTCAAACATCTTATTCGATACTGTCTGATTCCCAAGTCAGTCTTCAAGCCTGAAGACTAAAGCCTCATGACTTCCTGAAACGGTTTAATGAGCTGCAGTGTTCTTGCTGATGAGGGGGCATATTAGACCAGAGCCAGTGAATTTAAAAGACTTTGGGTATTCCTGTTCCTGATTTCCAGGACCAAAGAAATAAAAAATAGCCAATGACCAGAACTGATGATCAGGAACTTCCAGACATCTCCAATGTTTAATTTAAATTTAAGATAAACTTTTCCAAGTTGAGGAATTTAAGCACAAACGTAATTTTAAATGTGAGCAGCCCCATTGCTTCCAATGAAGCTATCTTCTTGCTTGAAAATCTATATGTGCTTACAGACCCTGTTGAACTAGGACCTAAATAGATGCATAAGCTACTTTCATAGGTGCAGAACACCTCCAGCTTCCCCTGACTATTGATGTGGCTTTTTATTTAACTGTTTAAAACTTTGTGCACCCAAATTAAGCCCAACTGTTTTATGAAACTCCAAATGGGCCATTTTTAATTCTTCCATACATGTAATGGAGACAGCAGTGTAGGCAAGGGTACTCCTAGGTTTTTTTTTTAGGGCACAGTAGGCGGGCAAGGGTACTCCTAGGTTTTTTTTTTTTAGGGCGCAGTAGGCATAGGTTTATTGTATAAAGTAAATACAATGAGAAATACCAAATGGAAAATTTTGTAATCCAGACATTTCATGCCAATTTCTTGCCTTAATCTCATTTCGTACACATCAATTTCCCTAGACCTGCTAAATCAACCACTACTGCTTCAATTGCAGCAGCATCAATCCCCATCAAGCATAGACGTGGCCTTAGATTGTAAGCTTTATGGGGCAGGGCTAACTTTTTTATATATATTTGTACAGTGGTTAGCACAATGGGAGAGTTCCTAATTAATCATAGAATACTAGAACTGGAAGGGACCTCAAGAGGTCATCAAGTCCAGTCCCCTGCCTTCACGGCAGGACCAAGTACCGTTTAGATCATCTCTGATAGATGTCTATCCAACCTGCTCGTAAACTTGTTTTAAATTAATTCCGCTAGACATAATAATGTTAAGAAGAGAAACTGTAATATATAAGATGAATGTTATATATGGAGAAGCAAATTTGCTCTTATTTTATTAGGTCACTATTGGCACTAACAAAACCATGTTTATTCATGATTTTTTTATATAAACTAAGGAATACAATCTTTGATGAAAGAAAAACTTCCTAGCACAAACAATATTTTCTCCTACAGAAATACATCCCTTAAAGCTGATCAGATTTTTAGACGTGTGTCCATCATATAGTGATGGGGATGTGATTTTTCCGATTTAAAGTAATAACTGAATCTTATAAAGTACTCTGTAACAATGGAAAATTTTCACTGTGACGGATCTAGTAAAACTATACCAACAGCACCCCCTATGTACCATAACATAGATGCTTCTTAATTCATCCCTTGGAAGAAATATGATAGAGAAAGTAATCACTAATAAAAAAAATAGATAAATACAAATAATTGTTTTTATATCATTTAATCTGTCTGCACTATGGATTAGGAAACTGAAGAAAAGATGCAGTTGCTGGTACCTGATTCATTTTCCTGTTCAAAATGTACTCGATTATTTACTTTGACTAGCTGGTTCATTCAATCTCTGCCTTAATCTCATTTCATACACATCGATTATTGAAATACAGGTAGTTCTCTGAGTATACAAAACTCGAACAATGGAATAAAGGGATGATTCCTAAAAAAACAGCTGTGTAAAACTAGGAAAATGGAAGGAGTGTAAGAATAAAGGATTAATTCAAATGGGAGTTGTATGTTTGCATGAGAAGGAAAGACACTCTAAAAGAAGAGTGGCAGTGTGTATAGGGCAAGGAACTGGGGGTCAGAACACCTGGAGCTTTATGTCTGGCTTTGATACTTAACTACTCTCTGACATTGGACAAGTCACTTAACTCCTCCCTGCCTTCACTAACTTTTGTGTCTTCTCTGTTTAGACCACAAGGTCTTCAGGGCAGGGACGGACTCTCATTATCATTGTCATCACAAAAGAACTTGACTGAAGCCTTTTGGCACTCCCACAATACAAATGACAGAAGTTAATCTCCTAAAATTTGAATTCAAATTGTTCCCAATTGGTCCTTTACACTTAACTAACAAAAACTGACCTGCTTATAAATTGGTAAAATAAAATAAAATAAATGAAATGGGGCGCCCTAAACACAAACAATGGTTTCTCCTCCAGAGATTCATAATCACTTATTGGCCACTGTATATGTCTGGTTGCAAAAGCATTGGTGCATCCCATAAGGAATCTGAACATGACATAACCACTATGTGCAAGGTTTTTTTCGTAGAATGACTCAGAAATGCATATTGTTATTATTCCACTAAAGTTTAAAAATAAACCTCATCCAGAGCTCCTGGAGCATAATAATAATAAAAATCCCTTACTCAAGTTGAGTGCAGACACAGTGAACAGTACTTCTAGCTTTGTGTTTTAGAACATTAACATGGGATTTAGCCAGGAGAATTGTGATGTGATTATGCTCAGAAGCCAGTACAGAACAGCTTTTTGGTATGCATGGGCTAGGCAGGAGGAAAAACAAAATGGGAAGAGTTAAGACAGACATTCTGAGCTGCCATTTACCTCTTTAGCTATTTACTCTCCAAAAGGTATGTTCTCTCCTGAAGATATACCAGCTTGGGCCATCATGCAAAGCACTGCCAGGACAGATCCACATGTACAGGCTTCTAAGAACAAATACATAAGCTGATGCAGGGAGCAAAAATGTCCCCTCTGATAAATATTATTAATTAGTATTACAGCAGCACCTGGAGGCTTCACCAGACACCAGGACTTCACGGTGCCAGAGGCTGTGCAGACATGGGATAGACAGTGCCTGCCCCAACTCGCTTACAATCTGACAGACAAGACCAGGGGTGAGAGCAGAAGCAGAGGTGAAGTGACTTGCTCAAGGTCGCGTAATGGCAGAGGAAGGAAGAGATTCCGCAGCCCTTTCCACTAAATAACAGTGCCTTAGAACCAGGCCTGCTGATGGTGGGAGGGCAAAAGGGGCACACTTATTCAAAAAGAGCCTGGGACTGCCAGAGTCTGCCACTGCCGGACCTTATAGGCCCTTTAAATCACTGTTGGAGGGCTGTGCTGCAGGCAGCTCTGAAGGCTGGCTGAGGCTGGGGGAGAGAGGGGCATAGCACACACTGCACAGGCTGAGGGCTAGCTGCCCCCAGCTCTGCCCCTTCTGCCCGAGGCTTTTCCCCTTCCTGGAGCATGGAGCTGCCCCCTCCATGCACCTTCGCAGAGGTTCAGCAAGTCTGTCAGTTGCCTGCTTAGAGCCACTTACTAGGAAGCCACACCCTCCTCACATTCTGTTCCCACTTCTTGGCCTGGCTTTCAAGGTCCTACAATAGAAGTCCTACCTCTCTGACTTGGTCTCCTCTTCAGCACTCCTCCCCTCAACACCACCCTGCTCCGTCTCAGCCTGGGGTGCCTGTTTTCTGTCACACCCTTCCCCAATCCATCTTCCACGCCGTTTCTTTGCGCCCACACATGCCTGTTTACTTGGCCGCATGCTGCACTCACAGGCCCACCACCTGAAACACTGCAATCAAGCCGTCAACACAACCAATCAAGGCCTGACCTGCAGCAGTTTCCTAGGTAACCCGAGCCACAGCCACAGAAACAGGCAGTAGACAGTGGAAGGAAACATGTATTTTAAAAAATTGCAGCATTTTAGATTTTTTCAGTACTTCTGAGTTGTTAAAAAAAAAAACACTTCAAAAGTACCAGTAATGACAAATACTCTTGTTAAGAAAGATTGCGCTCGGCACTGGCCCTCTCCAGTGCTGATGGTCATACAAGTATGTACTTAAAGCTAGACAGAGCCTATAAGAGCTACAGGACTCCTTGAGTTCCATTCCCTGCTCTGCTGCCAACCCACTTTAAGGACTTTTCCAAGTCCTTCCAGCCAGATTTTCAAGTCCATATGAATTGAGGGTCCAGTGGGGCCAAGGACCCCCTGCAAATCAGGCCCAAATTGCTTCAAGTTGAAAATTGAGGCTCTGCAAAATAATCAGGGGCCACTTTTGAAAATGTTGCCCTGCACTTCTATCAATTTCCACATCTGTCCAAACCAGGGGAAAACAGTCTCAAGGCGATGGGAGACATAACTAGCTAATGTTATCTATTGACTGCTTTGGAAAATGTCAGATGCTATGTAAGTATTATACATCCTGCCGTTCTCTAGTATCTTTCTGCTGCTCTTTATTAATTGGTGTCCATCTGTAAATATACTGACTACCAGCCAAGTTTAGGTTGCTCTAGCCTCAGTTACATATGTGGCAAGGGGCTCATGAAATATCTCCCCTGCTGCCTATTGTACCTGTACTTACCAAAAAGCTTAACTTAGTCACAGATTCTGGGGTAGTGCCACTTTTCCTGTCATCTCATGCAGACACTCACAACAGAGCCAATAACTAGCAGCAGTGACTGAGCACAGAGCGAGGCTACATTGTAACAGCAGCAGAACTGTCTTTACAGGTTATTTCTTGCTGTTTGTCCCATGAGCAGCTTAACCTCAAACATGCTTCGGGTCTCACTGAAATGTGGACACTGTGCTAGCAGCTATGGTACATGCATTTTCTGAGGGGAAGCTCCAGGTATATCTTAGCATTGCCACTGTGGTTAGGTGACCCTACTGTCTGGGGAACTGTGCTCTTTCTCCTGTGACAGGGTTGGTGGGTTGTTGCTGGTGTGTGCGCTCCTTTGACAAACGTAGTGCGTGTCCTTACTCTTCCTGTTGCGGAAATAGCCTCTAACGCTCTAACGTGGCCCTAAGGGCAGAGCTGTCAAAGTAATATTAATCATGAACTTTTGCCCATCTTGCAAACTCAACTCATATTTTTTTAAGAAGTCCCTCCCACCCCTTCTGTTCCCATCTACCTCTGTCTCCCCTTCCCTAGTTACATTCTTCCCATGCCCTCTCTCTTCCCAAGCCTGCCCCTTTCTGCACCAGACCTACTCTGTCTAGTCTCGCCTGCAACCTACTTCCACTGCTTCTTCCCCCAGTAATCTTTTCTTTTAAAGAGATGCAGCAGCACCTTTGCTGGCTTCTGTTCTTCTACCTGCTTCCCTAAAATTACCAGCTGTCCTCATTGTAGGCAGCCAGGTCCATCTTTAACAGGAGACTCCATGATGCAAAAATCCCAGGCTACAGAAGACCATTCCTCTACTGGGAAATGGTACTTATGTCAAATATGAAATGCCTTGGAAAAAGAAATCTCTTTGTGTCTGTATTTTTTTTTTTTTGAGTCAAGCACTTTGTTAAAAGTCAGAGTTTGTAGTTAATGTATTTGCACTTTCTAGTGGCTGTCGGGGTAATTGGCTATTATACTATACTAGAGTCTACTAGCACTTAGTGTTGATGTTCCGGCAGGTCAAGTGGCACCAAAGGGTGCTTTTGGTCCAGAGAAGCCTTGAAATTCCAGCAGAGACAGACTCTTCACACAATTACAGGCCTGGAATGTGTGTTTCTGTGTGAGGATGAGCCCTGCAGTGTTGGAACAAATTAATGAATTTATTTTTAATACAGCACCCATCAGACAATCCCATCTTCCCAACTTCTGCTGGGGAAGGAGACAAGCTTGCCAGCTCACACAGAACTCTTCTTCAGGTCTGGGAAGCTGTAGACTAACAAACACCGGGGTTTCAGTGTAGAGACACTGGTCTCTTTGTAGTCTCATACCACAGCCAATATTTTTCACAATAATAATTGGGTCATATCCCAGACCCCACCAAGACAGCTTGGCTCTGCTGTGGTGGCACAAGACAAGTTTCAAACCAGCTTACGAGGCCTGCTAAGGATTCCTTGATTATTTCTAGAAGGAGCAATCCTGGGCTGGTTTCTCTCAACCAGGATAGCTGGCCCTCTGCCATCTGCTTTCAGGGCCATGTTGAGAGCATGGTCAGAGCTCCTTAGCTCTCCAGTGGTCCCTGCCCATTTTAAACAGCCCTTAATGGGTCAGTGCAGGTCAAAGCAGCCATAGGATTATATAAATGATTTTTAATGTCTCGGAGGGAGGAAGGATTGTCCACTGGTGAGGGTACTACCCTGGAAACAACTTCAGTTCCCTGGTCTGCCAGGACTTCCTGTGTAATCTGATGTGAGTCATTTAGTTGCTCTGTGCCTCAGTTCTCCATCTGTAAAATGAGAATAATGGAAGTGTCTTACCTCAGAGAGGTGCAGGCTGGGGGAGCATGGCAAAGGGGGCAACTGCCCCAGGATCCTGTGGCTCGAGGCTCTGGCAGCATCCAGAGCTCCAGACCCTTTTGAATCACTTCCAGAGCCCCGGCCATGCAATCTTGGAAGTGCAGAAAGGCTGGAGCAGGGATGCTAATCCTCAGCCTGCCCCTTCCACCTGAAGCCCCACCCCTTCCTGCAGGGTCCAGAGCCAGCCCCCTCACCTTTCCCAGGGGTCCAGCCTTTTTGTCCGAGCCCTGGAGGTCAGTATAAAAATTAAGAGAGAAACAGTGACCAATTCTTTGCTGTTCTAAAGGCATTACCAATTCTAAAGGTATTCCCCACTTCAAGTATAGGGAATATTGCTCAGCTATGACTGGAATGAACTTTTTTTCAAGTACTCCTGCTGTATGTATACAGCCATATCTAGCATGGTAGATACAGATATATCATCAGTGAAACCAAAACAGGCATTTTATTTTCAGACTCCACATCCTTTTTCCCTGGGGAGGTTTCCTAATCCAGGATATACTTCTATATATGGAGATATACATATCTCACAGAGCTGGAAGGGACCTTGAAAGGTCATTGAGTCAAGTACCCTACTTTCACATCAGTACCATTCCTGACAGATTTGCCCCAGATTCCTAAACAGCCCCCCTCAAAGATTGAGCTCGTAACCCTGGGTTTCACAGGCCACTGCACAAACCACTGAGCTAGCCCTCCTCCTTGTATGGAAAAATAAAAACATAAATTCATTCACGATATCACCGTAGCATCTAGTGCCCCCAACCTTAGGGTCGGAGGAGAGAAAGAGAGGAACGGCTGTTTAGCAGAGAAGCAGCAGAGCTAGGAACCTGACTCCTCCTCCAGTACCCTATGCTTGGAGCTGCATTGCCCCTCTTTAAATGGTGTTTTGATACCGTTTCCATTTTTTCCACTCAAATACCTTACCTGGAATAGGTTTGAGAATAGTATTTGGTATTATGCCTCTACTCATTCAGCTGTTTTGCTGTTCCTCGCTTTGAGAACCTTCTTAGTCCCCCACACATAATGCTCTCCTGGACTCTGCTTCTTGATTGTATGG